TTACTTGCGATACATGGATTTTTAAATTCCACTTACTTTGCCATATATGGATTCTTAATTCCACTTACTTTGCCATATGGATTTTTAAATTCCACTTACTTCACCATATGGATTTTTAAATTCCACTTACTTTGCCATACATGGATTTTTAAATTCCACTTACTTTGCCATACATGGATTTTTAAATTCCACTTACTTTGCCGTATATGGATTTTAAAATTCCACTTACTTTGCCATATATGGATTCTTAAATTCCACTTACTTTGCCATATATGATTCTTAAATTCCACTTTGCCATATATGGATTTTTAAATTCCACTTACTTTGCCATATATGTATTTTTAAATTCCAATGGATAGATACGCCATGGTGTTACTTTGACGCCATCAATTTTAACATCGCCGTGCAAACCTAAAACACAAAGTGACAGGGTGAAATGGGTGAACAGGCCTAACCGGTGTACAAAATTTACATTTCTAAATTTCACAAATCCATTCGTGTAATAAACTTTTGTCTGTCAATATCAACTTCTATTATTTGGCACAAAGTAAGCATGCGTAATCAATAGAAAATTATACACATTTTGTTCAAATTGTAAAACAAAATACAAATTTTTTTCTTAGGAATAATTCCAAGTTGTACATAGAGAAGTGATACATATCTTTTCAAAAATATAATGCTTAGACTAGTCAGCCAATCGTCTGAGTAGAGCCCTAGTTCTATTTAATCCGACACAGGGCTCTACTCCAAAGGTAATCCCACCTGTCTATCAATGCTAAATATTCCATTTTGGTACAGTAAGTATAACTGAATGTAGTAAAATTATAGAAAAATACAGAATGTGAAAATTGTGGCATCAACATTTTTGTGTGAAAATTTTAGTGTTGGATAGATTAAGTTGGTGTATTTTTGTATGTCAGACATTATTGTTAGAACTGTAATTACCTTTTCTCTCTGAACCAATTTCTTTGCCATAGTTAACCCTTCCTTGGTTTTCCACTAAAATATCTAAACTATTTTCCTTTGAATCCTGGAAGAAAAACACAAGATATTTTAAGAACAGGTTGAGTAGTAAATATTAAATGGTTTTATTATTATATTATTAAATCTGTCACCCTATTTTCATGAGTTACAGCCCATAACAATTTTGCAATATTAGCAAATGTGAATTCCAAATATTGAAAAATTGTGCAATATTTCCAAGATGTTTGAAAATGAAGGACATAGCACTGTTCTCACTGATGTTTTAACAGACTGTCTCGTTCAAAATGTAAGTGATGATGGCACACACATTGCATTTTGCTTCAGAAAACATATTCCATGTTTGGGGCTACGCAACAGGTGTATAATGCAAATATCTTCCTATCAAAATGACATTATTGCAATTAATGCACTATCCAATGGTGAAAAGAGTCCATTACAGATGGAACCTTTTAGGAGAAAGACACCCAGTGATAGTAATGAATGGGTGAAGGAGAAGTTGGTTGCAACTAGGTCTGTGGTATGTTAACACAGGTTGACTATTTTATTGTGTTCAACCCAAAGAAGAGCACTTGGTCTATTGATCATGGGGTTGACCCAACAACTATGCTACTAATGCTAAATCTCCATGGTAACATCCACAAATAATATCGTAGTCTGCTTATTGTGTCAACTAAAATCAAACAAAATATTATACTGACCACTTGCAAATTTTTAAGTTGTACAGGTTTGTTTTGTGTTGCTGTGATTACAGCTATCTCCTTGCCATTCACAAATATCTGAGCTCTGTCCTTGACTGGATGTTGAAATGTAAGCTCCTTGGACTTGCCATCTATAGTGGCTTTGTATAATATATAACCATAACCTTGTCCTTGATCCATATTAATCGGTAACATCTCCATTTGCACCACATCACTGGATTGAACAGGCTGAAAAATAAATTAAAGCTGTTAACAGCATTGCATTCAAACTCATGTGCACAACAGTAGTCAGTAGTGAATTTGTGTATATACAGTAATGCATCAGTAGAAATCAGATATGCATATTCTATTGTTCACACAAGAATCTTCTGACATCAATGTTATATACAAAAGATGTAGTTGATACGTTTAGTTTAAGCAATTGTGAGAAACAAATGCTGAAAATTCATAAATTTTTGTGGAAATACATGGTTTATTGAAACACTTAAAATTCCTCAGAAGGAATTAAAATTGAAATACAAACTGGAATTGTAAACCTCATGACTGGTAATTTTTTCTTCGATGAAAAGCCTTAGACAAAAATGCAAAATGTCAAGTTGATTATATAACCCACTCAAGAGAAACAAAAATCAAAGATGGCGGCCAAATTGCACGACAGATACAAATTTTGTTTCTTGTGCCTGAAGGAGGTTAGTGTGGAAATGCAAAATAGCAAATTTCAAATCTATCTAATAATTAAATTAAACATCAGTAAAATACTACTTTCTGTTTGAAAAAAATCCAAGATGGAGGCCAAACCAAGTGACCATTTACAACAAGCTTTGCAAACTTTAATGACCTTTATACTTAGATGTCCAATTTTGTGGAAAAGGTCAAAGATAGCTAAAGGATATTTTTGGTGAATTAGGTAACCTATATAGTATAAGAATGCTACTCAGAAAGAAAGAAAAATCACTTTCGGTTTAAATTCAATCCAAGATGGTGGCCAAACTATGTGACTCGTAGAAATTATTTTATTTTTCATGTATGAAGCTATGGCCTTACATATTATATACACAATATTACCGGTAAGTGGATTGAAGCACTCTTAAGAAACAAGTGCCCAAATCTTGGTCATTCTTGTGGAAACCCCCCAAGATGGCAGCCAAATGACGCGACTCATCAAAATTATCTTAAAAGCTTTGGACATGCATGCTACATAGCAAGTATCAAGTGGATCGGTTAAAGCACTCATGAGAAACAAATGCACTCTTTGCCATTTTTGGTCAAAATTCAGATGGCAGCCAAACAATGTGACATTCCTAGATCTGAGATTTAGATCATATGTTTGATGGTTCTGAGGACGAGATTTTCAGCATTTTTTGTCATATTTCAGGGAATTAATATGGTTGAAAAAGTCATGTGACAACTAAAACTGTTATTGCTGATATCTATTACGCTATATGCTATAAAACATCTGATCACCTAGTCCCTCGAATAAGTGATCAAATCAAAACAATAACCATATCCTTGAAGGCTTGTAGGAGACTTGTGGCCAAAAGTGTTGCCTAGGGACATTCTGTTGTTGTTCTGCATGTAATCTGTTCAGCTAGATAACCATTGATGTTAGTGATCGTTTTAAAGATGAAAATTCATTTTTATCATTGGAGAGACATGTAATTAAGGAGCCTGAACATTTACACTCAAATGTCAGGCAAGCAATTTCCCCAACTCTGACACAAACACCCATATTTGGCCTGTAATCTATATTATTATACATCTGTCACCATAATGTTATAAGTTACAGCGTGCCGTAATTTTGTGGTATTTTATGGGGTATTTTCATCCTACCATATTAGAAAATGCAAACAAACATGGCTGCCACCAGGGTTTGACTAGACTCCACACAAAGAAGTTCGCTGAATCTGTTCTAAACTTTTTGGATTTTGGCATTCCCATGATATATCATTGAGAGGAAAAGATGTATAATAATAATATTATTACAAGTATACTCAGACGGTACGTCGTCGCATCAACCTCTGTTGCGCGTTGGTCGATACGTCCGCTGTAATGTCTTTGTACATACTTTTTGGTATCCTCATAATAACCTCACAGTATCACATGCACTTCAGCTTAAAGTTTAAAGTTAGTTACAAAACAATCACAAAATTCTTCTGAACTGAACTCCTAGCTTCCCAGGTACGTACCAACCACTAGTATGCCTCGTATCTCCATGCTGCTCCTTTTTTCCAAAAACTAAGAACACAAGTCTAAGACATTTTTTCACTCTGAAAGTTACAAACCTGTTTACTTGTTTTTGATCTTAGTAATAACTATTCTGTACACGATATTTACAACTATTTGAACCCATTGTTCCATAATTATCGAACCCGCTTAGCTTGAATTATTAGACTCCAAAACTGAATCTTACACTCAACCAACACAGTCTTAAATACTCTGCAACAAAACATTGGAACTCTTTGCCTAATGCATTTAAAACCATCACTAAGAGACACGTATTTAAAGCAAAGTTAAAAAATTATCTTTTCAATATTTGATTTGTAATATTTTTTTTTCATTCTTTATTTGAAGATTTGTGTTATTTGTATTATTTATTTAATATATATTTACTATATGTACAATTTCTACATTTAATGTTGTTTTAAAACTTTTTTTTTGGTGTACATATATAAGACGCTGACCAACTGAGATGATTCAACCTTACCTCTATCATATCAAGTATCTCATTGAATGGCAGGAAATGAGTCATTTCTACTTTAAGCTGTCCATTTATCTTGCCAGCAATCTTTGGTATGACTGGCAGATTAGCTGGAACTGCAAAAAAAAGTTTCATAAAAACAAAGTAATTTATCACCAACAACACCCCACAGACTACCGTAAAAACTTGATTAATTGTCGGTAGTAAAAATAATTATTTTTTCAAGTGCGCGAATTAATAGCGTAAAAACGGAAATTATTGGTTTTTGGTGCGCGAATTAAAAGAGTACTTTTAGATCGATTCAAAAAGAAGCTGTTTTCATAACTTTATTAGTGATTTGTTTTGTTTTCCAAGGAACACGATTACAGGACGTTGTTTTAGTGCCTCTGAGACTTGTGGCTAGCGAAATTCATGGCGTATAGTCAGGCAGAGAACACGCACTGTGTCAAGAACCACGCACCATGTTACACTTGAAATGGAACAGTGAAATGGCAAAGGTCACTCTGTACACATACAAACAATGAACACTGTCTGGCCATCTGACTGCACTGCCTTTTTTTATTTTTCTAGGCAGTACCGTCAGACACAAATTATTAATTGTTGACAGGTAGTCGGCAGTGAAGCCATCAAACCAATCACCATCTTCGTCATCGTCTGAAAGAAGATAGGCAATGATTTCTGCTATTTCAGTGTTGCTTCGGATAAGGCGGTCTTCTGCCCTGTTGATTGCATTTTTGTAGCCATGTGTTTATTGTTTACACGATTGTTTGTTTTTTTGTCAAGCACTTTCATCTATAATGAAAATGTGACACAAGGTAAATCACCCGACCAATCAAAAACGTCAATTTGCGCACCATACTTAAATGACATAGAATAAAATCACTTTCCAAAATGGCGGACACATGGTCGATGCAACCCTGTGGACCAGCGACGAAAAGCCCTGTACTAAGCTTTCCATCACAGAAATTCGTAATCGATGTGCTGACCGATGGATATTTATCGACTAAGTAATAATCTTGCCCAACATCTGTAGTGTCGTGGGGGGAATGATTTTTTTCAGGTCAAATCTTGACCGAACCGAACTGCTTGCTAACTGAAAGGCTGTGATGACGGAGATCATCTGCGATTGCAGCTACACCAAGTACTGATAACATAAAAACTCAAACAAAATGTATCTTTTTAATGTCTTTATGCAATATATTCTGAGTTATCCATTTTATTCTGGCCCGCGAATTAATAGGATACAATTTTAAACATGTTTTTGAACGCCGCGAATTAAAAGGATACATTTAAAAATTAGCGTTCGAAAATAAAATGGATGTGTGAATTAATAGAGACCGCGAATTAATCGAGTTTTTACGGTAGTATAATTCCTCATCAATAAGCACTCCAAACACTCTCTTTCACAAGTTCTCAAAATTCTTTCTTTCTTTTTTTGAGGCCAAGAACAAGAATATTTTCAGCTGAACTATATTCATGGTTATCACCAGAAAATTTCTTTTAAAAAAATTTTTTTGTGAATCCATTTATAATCAAATGTTCAACCAATAACATACATGTACGTATTGTATACGTATCTCAAGTTTAAAAAAAAACACACAAACATTCTTTTTCCAAATATTGATCAGGTTTTGTTTTACTTCTTTCCTCATGGATTGCAATGTACATGTATAACTCTGTAATCCGCATACGATAATATCATATTTATCTCAAAAATTGGGTTTTTACCCCAAATATTTCAATAGCAATCTATTCATCTATTCGCAAAGAATATAAAGAAATCATTGATGAAACTGTAGTGAGCAACCTGTACTACATTTTCAACTGAATTTTATATTAACTTTCAATAGTTTACAATCACATCACATAGCTGATTGTTAATATGTCTGTATTTTAAGAATTTTCATCAACCAATATATAGATTACCCATGATGCATTTCAACCAAGTCAAAATCAATCATCAATTACAAATCAATAGAATGTCATCCTCTAAATAACTTACCCATTCCAGGCAGTGCATGTTTTTTCAATATCTCTTTTATTTTAAAATATTTCTCTGTCATCTCTCCTGATTCAGACAGCGGGGCATCATAATCTATGAAAGTATAATGACAATAGGTTAGGATAAAAAACAATGCTCAATGTACTCTAATTTACAATTACTGTAACCCCATCTAACGTTAACTATAATTATAACAGTTAATTGTAATATTATCTTACAAGTATTTTACAATAATGTTATTACAGTACTGTATATCACTATTATAATGTAGAAAATCTTATTGTAACAAAGTAAAATATCAGAAAGTAACTATATCACATTGTAACTGAACCTTACTGTCTTTTAAAGTAACTCTCTTACAATAACCTCAAGCAACTGTTTCTTACAATATAGTCCAGTAACTATCTTATAGTAACTTTAAGTAACTGTATCTTACAATAATGTCCAGTAACTATCTTATAGTAACTTTAAGTAACTGTATCTTACAATAATGTCCAGTAACTATCTTATAGTAACTTTAAGTAACTGTATCTTACAATATATATATATTAGCGGTATCGTAATTTCATGCAACTATCTTCTAGTAACTGTATCTTACAGTAATCTCTATTAATTGTATCTTACACTAATACGTATGTAACACGAATATATAGTGTAACCATCTTCTCTGTAACTCACTGCACCTGTAACTTCTAATAAATGTATTTTACAGTAACTTCTAGTAGATATTTTACAATGAGTATATCATGCAGTAACTATCTAACAGTAACTTCCAGTAACTGCATCTTACAGAAATAAACTTTACATAAATTTTAGTAACTGTATCTTACAGTATTAAACTTCCATTAAATTCCAGTAACTGTATCTTACAGTATTAAACTTTCATTAAATTCCAGTAACTGTACCTTACATTATTAAACTTTCATTAAATTCCAGTAACTGTATCTTACAGTATTAAACTTTCATTAAATTCCAGTAACTGTATCTTACAGTATTAAACTTTCATTAAATTCCAGTAACTGTATCTTACAGTATTAAACTTCCATTAAATTCTAGTAACTGTATCTTACAGTATTAAACTTCCATTAAATTCTAGTAACTGTATCTTACAGTATTAAACTTCCATTAAATTCTAGTAACTGTATCTTACAGTATTAAACTTTCATTAAATTCCAGTAACTGTATCTTACAGTATTAAACTTTCATTAAATTCCTGTAACTGTATCTTACAGTATTAAACTTCCATTAAATTCTAGTAACTGTATCTTACAGTATTAATTAAACTTTCATTAAATTCCAGTAACTGTATCTTACAGTATTAAACTTTCATTAAATTCCAGTAACTGTATCTTACAGTATTAAACTTTCATTAAATTCCTGTAACTGTATCTTACAGTATTAAACTCCCATTAAATTCTAGTAACTGTATCTTACAGTATTAAACTTTCATTAAATTCCAGTAACTGTATCTTACAGTATTAAACTTTCATTAAATTCCAGTAACTGTATCTTACAGTATTAAACTTTCATTAAATTCCAGTAACTGTATCTTACAGTATTAAACTTTCATTAAATTCCTGTAACTGTATCTTACAGGAATAAACTTTCATTAAATTCCAGTAACTGTATCTTACAGGAATAAACTTTTATTAAATTCTAGTAACTCTCTTTTACAGTATTAAACTTTCATTAAATTCCAGTAACTGTATCTTACAGTATCACATTTTCATTATATTCCTGTAACTGTATCTTACAGTATTAAACTTTCATTAAATTCCAGTAACTGTATCTTACAGGAATAAACTTTTATTAAATTCTAGTATAAACTCTCTTTTACAGTATTAAACTTTCATTAAATTTCAGTAACTGTATCTTACAGTATCACATTTTCATTAAATTCCAGTAACTGTATCTTACAGTAATAAACATTTATTAAATTACAGTATCTGTATCTTACAGTATTAAACTTTCATTAAATTCCAGTAACTGTATCTTACCATAACTGGTTACTGTTGGTAAATATGTTCCATCATATTCTAAATTGGCACCATTCCAGAATCCAAAGTTTGTACCACCATGAAACATATAAAAGTTGACAGATGCCCCAATGTCCAGTACCTTTACAAGTACCTTCTCCATTTCTACAACAAGAAAATAATGGGTCAAATAAAGATAGTAATCAATTGGCTATTTTTTCATGTTCACTGAGAGATCTGGCATAATGCGTGAAAAAGAGACAGAGACAAATCAAACGTCTGTTAAAAAAATTGCATGATTTGATTTTGAACTTAAATTTCTCCTTTTTAAATTTCAATGTCAAAATGCCTATCTATCAGAGGAGAATACTGTAAAACAAGTTTTTTTCGCGAGCATGTCTTTTTAGCGAATTTAGCGAGAGAACTGATTCACTAATTCAAGATGTTGCTAATGACTATTATAAATTCAAAATGGCCAAAGCTTAGTATACAGTAATACGGAACGTAAAAATCTGGGGCGCTTCCTAATTACATTTGACAGATTTTCTTTGTTTTCATGGAGATGATAACTGTGCATTTGTTTTGGCACGGGACAGACAAGTACATATTGTGAAAACAGGAAATCAATAATGACAAGAGAGATTCGCTAAATCAACATTTCGCTATTACATCATTTTACCACAATTCGCTAAACATGCATGTCACTTTTTCAACATGTTTTACAGTATATTGTGGAGATATTCTTACTTCATCAAATGTGTATATCACATTATTAAGTGTGAAAAATATCTAAAAATTGTTTTGCGTTTGTTGAATCCCACACAATTTTTTGATGACTATGGTTTTTCTGTTTCTGTTTTTACGTAAGATTTCACGCATAAAGCAGGATCTCATGATGAACAGAAAATTTGTATACATATACATATTTTTTTGTTTATACACCCTTGTCACAGATAATATCCCATGATATTATTACCTTCAGTACTCAGTACGTGATGTTGTTCTCCCCAATGATCAAACCATCCAGACCAATACTCCATAGTCATCAATGGTTTGTTTTCCCCCTATGAATAAATAAACAGTCAAATTATTGTAACATTTCCCATCAATCGGCAGTTTTGATCTTCGATTACAAATAAGTAAATACCACCCAACTATTGTACCTCCCAATATCAATTAATTTGTAAGAAGGATATTATGAAATGATTTCAATCTGACTTCTATTCAATATACTAATCACTATTATAAGTCTATAACACTTTTCAGATCATTCATAGAGCTGTATTGAGGGTGTTAGGATGAACATTTGAAAGATATTAATTTAGTGTTTCAGATTATGATAAAATGTTAATATACTATTCTGAAAATTTAATTTTAACAAGCATTCATTAAAACTGGGGAGTCGTCACCTGCCCATGCATCTGATGGTCATAGCGTGTCACTGTTTACAAACAAGTGTCTACCCAAGAGCCTTTGCGTTATTAGCATGTGTTTTTATCATCGCAGG